TCCAAATGCATTTTTGAAGTACTTGAATCTCTGTTTTGAAGCTTTTGCTACGATCTGTAATGCATTAAGTGTTTTTAAAAGCTTTATAGATATTTTTTAAAGCTCTTAGTGTGGTTTTGAAATTCTGCTTCCACTGTTTTATGTTTTTGAAACAGTTACTGCGCTTTAACATACATTTCGAGCGCTTTTGAAAGCTTTCAAACACTTCTAAGAACTTTCAAAGCGTTTTTGAATTTTTAGCTAGTTTTTTTCAATATACATATGTAGATATGTATATACACCGGTGTTCTCGAAAATAGCAGCGCGACGTATTAAGGTTTTAACAATTTAATTTCCTTTTATCTAATAAAACAAAAACTTAAAAAAAAATATAGTTAACCCTACAACCATTAACAAAAACCAAAGAAATAAAACTTTAAAACTTTCTACAAACTTTAAAAAATTCAACAAATCCCAACAATGTTTTGTAAAAATTTTAAACTTTTTTATAAGCATTTGAAAAAAATTTCGAGTATGCTGTTTTGTAACCCCGTCAATTTTAGTGCAAGTTAGAAGTGGCACAAATTTTGCGATGATTTTCGAGCATATTTTTCATAAAAGGTTGGCCCTGCCTTTTCTTCCATATAAAGAATACTAAAATTTTCTTTATATAAAGAATACACAAATTTTCTTTATATGGAAGAAAATGCAAAGTATCAGCAAAAAAAAATATTACTAAAAATCAAAGCGAATTCTTAGCCATTTGAAAATTGCACTTAATTATACTAAAATTTGTTGGGCTATAAAATTGCGTAGCTAAAAAAATTACTGAAATTCTGAAAAAATAATTGTTGAATTTTTATAATTTTTGTAGAAATTTGAGACTTTGATTTGCACGGTTTTTATTGTAGAATTAATATATTAAAAATAAAATGATTAAAATTAAATAAACGGAAATTATATTGTTAAAAAAATGTCTATGGGCCCTATTGCGAATTTAAAATGAACAAATATTCCAAAAAATTATAAAACAAAACAAAAACAATGTTTCCCAATTGGTTCTTATTTTGCAGGTAAAATTATGGGAACGATTTATTCACATGGAATTGGCGATAGGGCTGTATATGTCGCGCTGCTATTTTCGTGAGCACTGCTGTATGTATGCACATATGTATTATATATTAAACGTTTTGCATAATGCATTTTTAAGGCGCCTTAGTAATTTTTCTGATTTTCGTTCATTCAGACGATATTATCGAATTTTGTTTCGGTTTTTCTTATTTCGGATGCGTTTGAAATTCTGCAAGCGTTTAGCGCGAAATTATTGATTTTCGCACAAGGTTGCATGATTTTCAATGTTTTTTTTTTTTTGAGTTTTATGAAGTTCTCTTTTTCATAAAATTGTGCTTAAAAAAATGCTTACTACTTTAGCATGTTTTTTAAAAGTTAAAAAATAACATTGCAGAAAAGTATGCTCGGTTACTTTTGAAAATGCAACAAAAAAAAAAACACTTTTAAATATCCATTGATTTTAAAGTCTGTTTCTAAGATCATTATCCTGCAAGCTGTTTTACCTGCATTTGGAATTTTTTCCAAACTACGTGGTTTAGAGCTTCAAAGTGCTGAAGCAACTTTTTTAACATCTTTTGTAGCTTCAAAAGTCCAAAAAGTTTTTAATGCCTGACTTTTAACCTTGTTAAGCTCTAATAGCATAATTTCTTTGATAGTTTTAATAGCTGTTGTTTTAGTTAACAACCAATTTAAACTGCAATATAGTTTTTTACTGTCCGTTTTCTTTTTCACCGTAAAAATGTCCTTTAATGTTTGTTTTTTTCTTATTTAATGCAATGTTTTATTTGATGTATTTGCTTGTTTTTATTTTGATGAGCTTATTTCTTTGGCTCGTCCTTTATTCGCTCTAATTTTATCTGGTGTTGCATACGCGCTGCTGCTGCTCTTTTTAATTTATTTAAATTAAGCTTTATTGTGTTGATCTTATGCAGCTGCTGTTTTTTGGTAGTTTTTTTGTTTGCTTTTTTCATCTTCATCCAGGCGCATGCGCACATGTTGCCCCGCTAGTCCCGGTACTGGGTACATCTCCTTTCACCTTGCTAATATGTCAATGGGCTCTACTTTTTTGGTATTTTTGTGTGCAATATTTGTTTGCTTGTTTCGTTTTTTCTTCGTTTGGTAATTTGTTTCCTTCTTTTATTTTAGTAATTACAATAATACACACATATTTATAGTTTATTGAATGCATGCTCAAACATCTCTTGAATGTTATTAAATATAAGAACAATAAATCATTTTTTCTCGGCATCAACTCTTAATGTTTTTTTTATTTATAAAGTTTCTTTTGGTTTTTGTTAGTATCGCTAACTTCTAATAAAAGTGTCTTTCGTTACTAATACACTACGAATGTTTTTTTTTTTTTTTTTAATGTGAGACAAAGTTACTTTTTTGTTAGCCAATTGCTAATGCATTGTTTAAAGTTTTTATTGCATGGAAGGGCTTACGCCGCTAGCTCTTTGCTTCCACTTTAATTGCTTTTACATAAGTATATGCATTTCAAATTGTTTTTCGTTTAGTGTTCTTGTATTTTTGTTTTGTTTAATAATGCATAGTATTTGAATAAAATGCGTGTTTATTTGCTTTACATATGCATATGTTTGTATGTGGGTAAATAATGTTCAAGCTTGTGTAATAAGGTTAGTAATATTTATGTAGTTATAAATATGTTTCTTTTGCAAGCGTGAAATGAGTTACATATTTCATTCACTGTTAATTATTTTTGGTATTTAATAATGATAATAGTTAAACGAAGAATATAATGTCTTCACAATTACGCAAATGTAATATATGTATATGTATATTCATTTAAAGTGTCAAAAGCCAAATTTGGAATTAAAGTTTACTCCCCAAGAAACTTTTTCTAAGCTTTTACGTTCTTCTTTGCTTTAATTTATGCGTTTATATATTTTTGGGATTAGTTTTTAATTACTTTTGCGTTAATTATACGCGATATTTAATTGATTTTTGAATATAAGTATGAATATGTGTATAATATTTTACTTATAACTATTAAGAAGTTGTTACTCAACTTTAATTTTTCTTTTATCAAATAATGACCAGCAGCTCAAATGTCGTTGTTGTTGTAGACTTTAACGCTACCGCCAACAATTTAATTTTTCTTTTATCAAATAATGACCAGCAGCACAAATGTCGTTGTTGTTGTAGACTTTAACGCTACCGCCAAGAAATTTAGTGGATTGTTTCTTACCTAAGTTGGAGTGCAGTATAGTTTTTATTAAATCATCAGTGTATTCAGCTTACATTAATGTTGCTTACCTTGTAGAAATCTCTTATGAATATAACTTACGGTTTAAATATGCCTAAACTTTTTTGAATATAGTATATGTATATGTATGTTAATATGGTTATATTAATTGATTATTGTAATATATCTTGCATGCCCTTTTACCATTATCAAATTTTGTTTTTTTTTCTTTTCTTTTCACGTTCACCTTCTTTAGCCATTTTTATATATGGCGCCTTTCCACCTGCAATGTTTTATACATTTGCTTACATTTATGCATGCACATATGTATGTATGTTTTTCTACCATAGTTATTGTTTTCTTTTTTCACGGTTAATTATATTTGTTATATTTGCTTTTATAACATTTTCATTTAACTGAATAAACCGTTTACCAAGTATTACATTAACAATGCCATTTAAATAAATAAATCTGTTTACCAAGTTACATAATGAGTGCTTTTATATATTCAATAGCATATAATTTGATTTGAAAAGTTACAGCTTTATTTTATTATGCTTTTTAAATAACGAATTAACACATTTAACAAACAGTTATAAGGAGTAGATATACATGTATAGAGCGCTAATATTTATTTGGCAACACACGTATTAAGTTAGCTGTAAGCCTTGAGAAAGAAAATTCAAAAAAAATAAAAGGTAAGAATATAAAAAATTTATTGTAATTCACTCACAAATCAGCAGAAAAAATTACAACATTAAAACTTATTATTTAACCAAAAGCAAGTATTCAGTGCATATAAAATAATTCTTATAAAAATTATTCATTGAATGAATTCAAATTAACTTCGAAAATATAAGTATTTGGCATTTAAAATGCCTCACAAAAAGAAATTTACTCCAATTAAAAAAAGCTTCACAAAATGCATCAAGCATGTTTTTATTCAATTCTCCCTTTTACCAATCTAAAACAAGCATGTATCTCTCATTTCCATAGCAGAGTTAGCTTTCCACACAAATTAGCTGATGAAGTTATCGAATTTGTATTGTTATTACAAAGATTCCTCAATTTGTTTAGACGCTCAATGCAGCTTAGTTGTTATTTAAACGCAAAACATTGACTTATATTTTCCACTTTCCACATTAACAAATCTTCAATCGTTTGGCTGGTGTGTATGTAGCGCTGTGAAATTATGCAAAATTTCCATTTCCCATGCGTTTTAAATTCTGCTAACTACATGCGTTTGTTTTGGCATTCAATGCATGCAGTTATTACATTTTGTATTACACAATATGAAATTTTAAAATAAAATATGTTTATTTTTGTTTTCGGTAATATGAAGCTAATATTGCTTCTATTCCTTTAGAATAATAATAGTAATAATGTTGAATATTTTTTTTTTATACGAAATATTAGCAATTGGAGTCTGTCTGCTGTAATTAGTGGATTTTTGTTGTGTAGATGTATGTATGTGGTTAGTGTTGATGTTTATGTGTTTTGGTGGTACTGTCTGTAAAAGAATAGCTGTATATCTATTTAGTTGATGTATTTTTATTATGATTAATTCGATTTTTCTTGCTTTATTTAGCTAATAATTAACTGGGGTTACTTGTTAATGTCAAAAAAAAGAAAATATATATATATATATATATATATATATATATATATATTTGTGGTTACTATGGTCCTGTGTTGGTGAAATTTGAAAATTACGTTTGTGTATTTTTGTTTGCTTTTTTATACGTTCACTATTTGGAATAATTATTACTTGTTGTATATAATTAGTAAATTTAATGATAAATTTATCGTAAATCGGGATCCTCATCGGCTGCTTTCTTAATTCTAAGCAATATTGTGGTATACCACTGGTCCAAGCGTGAAATGCTATCATAATCTTTAACTGCTTCTGTGAAGCCTTCGATGTTTTGCTCCTCCAAGTGTTCGCAAAGCACCTGAAATGTACGTTGTTTAATGAAGTTTTGCCATAAAAGATTAAAACAATTTAAAATAAAGCTTTAAGAAACTATTTGCCTATGAATAAAGCCGTGGTGTCCACTATCTAATGTGGGATTTTTTTCTTCTACAAATTGGAAGCTCTAGTTCTTCGCGCCTCTATACATACAGTAAATGTTTATAAAAATGTTTTTTTTTTTTAAGGAAAAACGTGAGTTTTGAGAGTCCGTCAGTACTTCAGCACCATTCCATAACCTTCTTATTGTACTTTTACTACAAGTTCTCCATGAAAAGAAAGTTTGTTTAGTTCCTTCAATAACTCATGTCAATTAATAAAATTATGTGAAACCAAAAATTTTTGTAAACCAAAAAACTAATATGAATCAGTCATAGGCATGTAGTTGCAAAAATGCTCCTTTTTGTAAATATTATAATTTCTCTCCATGTACTACATCGTTTCTTCCCTACCTTAATGAGTTTAAATTCACGCGAATCTTGGAATGCTGGATATTGCTGCGCATATTTCTCAATAGCGTGTTGAGCATTCAATAAATCCACACTAAGGTGACATAAAGCAGCACGGAAGAAATACTCTTTAGCGCTATACTTGAGCAGTGAGCTTTCCAACGATGAAGCGGCAACCTAAAGAAAGCATATAAATGATGAGAATGATAAGTAAAACAAAGATTAAAGTTTAAGCACTTCTCGTTAAAGAAACTTACCTGCTCATAGATATTGATAGCTTTTTCGTAATCTTCTAGCTGTGCGGCATATTGAGCTACCTTTAACATACACTTATTGGCTGAACTCACCGATTCTTCGCCCTTAAAGTAATCGGCAGCTTGTTCGTAATGCTGCACAGCTTTGGCCTGTTGAGCATCGATGTGGTTAGTTTAAAGAAATTAGTTTATATTAATAATACACAAAGAGAGTTAGCCGTTAACGTACCAGCGTGCCTGGGTCGCTTTCATACATTTCAGCAATGCTCTGGTGATGCTTTGCTGCCATGGTAAAACGGCCCATATCGGTGTAGATGTCGATCGCCTTTAGCAGGCATGAGACAGCACCTTCCACATCGATCTACAAGGGTGTATCAATTTATAGAATCTTAAAATAAATATTGAAACCATTTGCATACCTTTTTGTAGCAATTCGACGCATCTACATATGCAACACCGGCATCGTGACGACTACCGGCACGCGAATGTAAATTAGCGGCTTCACAAAAGCATTCACCAGCCTTCGCCCAATTCTTGGACATCTTGAACATGTTGCCGGCGCGTTGGTAACATTCGATGGCATCTTCCACTTTATTCGAACCACTGTGAATTAAAATATGGGGCCATATTAATACACAATAACATTATTTGTTTTAATGGAAATAGTGCAAGCCAATACATAGTTTAATGATTTTTGAAGGCACATGGATACATATATGTGCACTTAGTTGAAAGTGAATAAACTCGTCCATTAAGGATATTTCTACACAACGCCTTTTCCTCATTTCCTGTTTTTAAGTGTTACTATAAATACGCATGGGCGCCTACATACACACTCGTACATACTTAGGTGCACATATTTGCAAAATAGTCTGAGCCCAGACTTCTAGTTAAAAAGTGCTGCGACGCATAGGCAGTGCTTCTGCGCTCCACATTTCTGTATACACAGGACTTGGCGCATAAAAACTAAGGATCTACCGTGAAGTGTGAGCAATATGAAGTGTAAACACCAACAAAGCTTGAGCAATGTAGGGTATGGCGAGTGGTGAAATCTTGCGAAAAATCGAAACCGTTGTTGATGATGATTACGACAATGACACGACATCGCAGTCGCTTCCGCAGCCAGACGATGACACTTTGCTAGCTGAACATAGATGAAATTTTGACTTTCCTCAGCAAATGTGGGCGGGACTCTAGATTTGAGCGTTTGCAAGTGTTATTCCAAATTAGCGAGTTCAGGAAAAATTTACCACACCAAATAATATGATATACATATTCCATGCTTCAAATATTAGTCATCACATCTTTATATTAACACTTATAAAATCGATAATCTTGCACCAAGCACCAAGATGCGACACCCAATACACACGAAAGAAAATTATAATGCAATATTGCTCGAACAAAGGAATTCAATATTTTTCCAGTTATTTACCTACATATATGTAGTGGATTATACACGTCACAATTCGGAGCTGGGGGATTTAAATTAAAACTTGAGCTCTCGATGGAATCACACACTCACCCAAATAGCGAACCGAGAAAACCCTTTTGTTGTGTCAATTTCTTCTCGGCTTCAGCCATCAATTGCAGCGCTTTCTGCTCATTGTCGCCCATAATTGCAAATTTTCTGCAAATTTGCAATTAATTGCAACAATTTATGATGTTAGGGAATTTTATTTGAACTGCACAAAATTTTTTCACTGCCGTTTGCTGAACTGCGTTGGAAAAAATAAAAAATCAATGACGAGCTGCGTACGAAGCTCGAGCAGCAACAACGGCGGCGACGTCGACGACAACGTACACGAATTCGGCAGTGATATGTCAAAATATACGAAAACAACAGCGACGACGGCTGCCTCAGCGACTGCGCCAACGGCAGTGGAATGACAGTAGTATAGGGGATTATAGAGAATTGAGAAATTTGCGGGGTTTGTACATTAATTGCTAGTAAGTGGGCTAGGCGTATTTATTTATTTATTAAATACAACTCCAAGGGGGTTTGTAAAAAAAAATATAGGGAATGGGTTAAAAACGAATAAATGGCTGTTGTAAAAGCGAATAAATATTTAAATCAATAGTAAAAAGATCAATAGCAAAAAATATAAAAAAGAATACTCACAAATCATTTTTTGGAGGTTTCTGGTTTCGTTGGCGGAGCGCTCACATAAGCAACATAAACCATTTAAGAATTGAAAAAGAACCGAAGTATTATGTAATCAAAAATAAAGGATAAGAGCAAAAGATTACAAATCACAATAAAATAAAATACATATATGTACGTATGTCTTGTAAATATAAAAAGTTATTAAAAAAGGTGAGAAAATAACTGAAACATTTATTGGCGAGTATACCTATAGAGTCATTGACATAAAATTATGGGCTGTTTTTGCTTGCGCGTAAATGTACATTTAGCGCATTTAGCTCTAAATGTTACTCTAAATGTACATTTATCCATACAAAATTCGTCAACTAAATGCAACTCAATCTTTGCATTTAGAATCTAAATGCTAAAAGCAACCCTGTGATCTTCCAAAATTTCCACGATTCGAACATGGTTTAATGAGAAAAAGTGGCAACATTGCTTTTTCGAGTATACAACCGCTAGCTGCGTTTCAGTGATCGCCGATCGAGATTTCATTTATTATTTTACATTATTTGGATAAAGAAAAGTTACGCAAATTCAACATCATATCGATGTTGAATTTGCGTAACTTTTCTTTATCCAAATAAT